TAGGCTCGTCCAAACTGCCGTGGACCCGTTCACCGATCGCATAGCATGTCGGGTAACTAAAATAAGCCCAATGAGGGTAGCCAGCGGGGCTGACGGGTTTGTTTGTTTGTCGACTACAGGCCGCTGTCTACCCTCGCCGGGCTTATTTTAGTTACCCGACATACTATGCGATCGGTGAACGGGTCCACGGCAGTTTGGACGAGCCTATTTTGAAATCGTGAAGCCGATCGAGCAAGAGATGAAAGCATCGCTAGTGAACGATCTGTGGAAGGAATTGCGAATCGAGTCAATGGACATGGAATTGCAACATCTCTGCTTTGAATTTCTGAAGGAATTGAGGCCGGGGGTAATTTTCCAGTGGAATTATTCGCCTCGAGCGACGGACACTCCGGGAATCACTGTTCTGCCTTGTCTTTCTTTTAGCAGTGGAACACCAAAATAGCGCTAACTCGCCGAAAACGCTTCAAAACGGCCTGAGACGCGGGCAAACAACAAAGAATACAACAAGGCAATAAGGTACGTCGATTTTATTTAAAGACATAACATTTTTTATCTCTTTTAAGAAAAACCGATCGATCCCATACAAGCCTTTGTAAATAACCGTTTGTAACACAATACCGCTCGCAAGCAAGAGTCACGTCCGCGTTCATGTAATGAGTTTGGGCCGCCTGTGGGTCAAATACTACAAAAATACCAGGGTCACATAAATTACGTTGAATTCAGGCTGCTATAATTTTAACACATAACATTCGATGATGCTGCTCCACATTTCATAAAGTAAATCAAGGGGTATATCTTACCTAAATGTTAGGCAGCTCTGCAGATCGTGGAAGATAACCCAGAAATCCGTGACCGCTTGAATGTCAACAAATCAACATATCACAACAAACGACCTCGTGAACGCTTTATCTACTTCATCAGAGGAGCCAAATGGACGAAAATTAACCACCTAAATGGTCCTTCTCCCATACATGATACTTCAACATAGCTTAGCCAAAGTATCCAATCTATAAGACATGTCTGTTGTCGATTGGGTATGCAAAAAAATCTCCCTTGAAAGTGCTTCAGAACGGCTTTCGGCCATTACGATTTCCCGTCAACAAGTGCTTCCCAGCAAGCTTGACGCATGCGCAAACGTTACCACTTGCTGTTTCACCGCCCAACCTTTATCCGCCCTGGCTGGGGCACTAGGACGCCCGCTGACCAAGATTGTTCACGTGTCTATTACAACTGGTACATTTCCGAGTTCCCTGAAGAAAGGCGCTGTACAACCTACCCTTAAGAAACCTACGCTCGACCTTGAGCAATACTCCAGTTATCGCCCTATTACAAACATTGCGTTTCTCTCTAAGACTATCGAACGTCTTGCTGCCACACAAACCTGTAACTATCTTACCGATAATGACCTGTTACCCAGTAAGGTACCGTTGGACAAACATGTGAACAATATCTGCAAGTCAGCCTAAGAACATTGGTACAATTCGTAGATTTCGGTCTCAAACGGACTATGAGACAATGCATCCAAATTACATTATTACTATATGTACATCCAAACTCGACTACTGTACATAACGCCATTCTTTACGGACTTCCTAAATCACGACTAGATAATTACAACGCATACGTTCAAAAACGCTGCAGCAAGACTGGTAACGAGGTCTAAGAAACATGATCATATCACCCTAGTACTTCGTATTTGCACTGGTTTCCGATTGACAAACGTACAAGTTTCAAAACACTGTTGATGACATTCAAGGCGTTAAATGGACAATCTCCTGTTTATATCTCTCAATTTATTTCTCGCTACCAGCCAACTGGAACTTTAAGGTCTTCTACCTGTAATAACTTGTCAGTTACCAACTGCTCTTGACTACTAAATCTCATGGGGATAGATCTTTTCTCTTGCCTCTTGTTGGGGCAAATTTTTTTCCCTTTTGTTTTTCTTTTTTCTCACTTACTTGTTATCGTGTATTCTTTTACTTTTCGCTCTCCGGTATTTTGTTAATTACGCTCCTTTGTTACGTGCTGTATGTAAATTTCGTTATAGTCTGTTATCTCGCCCCTATTTATTACCAGTTTTTACGTGTCTATTAGTGTAACAACATTCGTCGAAGTAGATTATCTTTTTCCTCGGTGGCCCTGACCACCGACTCTGTTATCCTCAGCATTTGGTAAGCAGCTTCGTTTTCATCGTTTTTTCATTAATTTCATTTTGCAGTCGCCTTAAAGTAGTTTTTTCTGTATTGTAACTATTATTTTTTCGCTCTTTGTAGGAATTTACTGTTTTTGGTTTGGTAATAGTAAAACATTTGCTGATTGTGAGTTCACGTGTTGTGTGTTGGAATTGGCCCTTGCCCGTTCACCTCTGGTAACTTATGAGACTCCCCTCCTTTACCTCTACGCAACTGCAAATCTGTCAACACTTTTAAGTCACAAGTTAAACTGGCCTATCTTTTCAATCTGTGATTTCCCCTTATTATATTCTATTCCTGTATTGCATGAAATTACTAATATGAAAACACCATGCTCTGTTCATAGTAGTATTTAATACTTGAATTTTAAGAGCGTTACATTTTGTATGTACTAAAATTGTTCATTTTTTATTATTTTTTCGATATATATATAGACAGTGAAACCCCGCCTTACGGCCACCTCGGTAATACGGTCATCTCGTTATTACGGCCACTTTTTTTTGGCCGCCTGCCCAAAACCACCATATATTTTCTTGTATAAAAAAATCCTCGTTAATACGACAAATTTTTTTGGCACATTGGTGATTGTATAAACGGGGTTCCACTGTATATATACATGTAAGTATTAGGGTTACTCTGTAAGAGCATTGAGACTTTTGCATAATGCTCCAAATTTTTATTATTGTTATTATTATTCTCTTAGTTTATACTTTGTGGCATAAAACACAGATATACATTCAAAGTGTGACAATGTTTGTACACTCAAGTACAACACAAAAGTATAGTCATCAATTCACTGATTCGACTGGCAATACACAATTTATGCACTATCATAAAACTTTAATTATTCTATTTTCAAAAAAGTCTCTTTCAGTATCCAGTTGTCTATATTTCACCGTACATATGGATCAAAAGGGTACCGATCTAGGTGTATATCCCCCAAATTTTGTTGATTCAATATTTATAGTTACTTATGGTATTTTGGGTTCAACTAATAATATTAACGCTAATTAAGTAGATGATCACCATCAATCTTATGATATTGAAAAAATGAAAATGATAATGAATGTGGATTTGGATATGAACGGAAGTTCTTTTATTAATTTTCCATTAAATCAATATATGTATGTGTTTTTTTTAACGAATGGTATGCTTGTAATGAATTTCCAAACTCTACCATTAATTCATTACATTAGAACTGGAGACATAATTGCTCTTATGAATATGATCACGGGTGGTAATTTAGATAATGGAAATTACAAAACGTACACTAAGAAATCGTTACAAAATTGATTAATTACATAAATATCATAAAAAACACTTTTCCTGAAATTAAAAATTTGAATGTTATTTAAGAAAAAGGATTGAATATTTACTTACTTAATAAAATTTCAAATAACATTCAAGACTGTAATATAAATGTATACTTATGGTACAACATACTCATTTAAATAATATAAATTTACAATATATAAATGGTTAATCAAAGAAGAAGATCCATATTTACATGGAACCATATTTCACGCCTGTTAACAGAAGAACAAGTTAAACAATTGAAATCTTATTATCATACATAACACCCAAAAATGATGGGCATATGAACAAGCCAGCAAACATTATAAAAAATTTAAACTTCTTGTAATAGCCTTTTAATAATTTTTGCAACAGGAGGTTTAGCATCAGCAATTGCAACGATTGGGATCAGCTCAATCGCAATCTCAACAAGGGGGAAATTTGCGTCTCAAAATCGATTGGGCTAGCTTAGGGAAGGTACGTTTTTTATTGGAAGGGGTGGGCCGGGACTTCGGAGGGGAGGGTCCTTATTAAACTTTTTACAAATGGAGGAGGGTCAAACCTGTTTTATTCTCAACCGGGGGAGGGTCACAGTTTTTTTGGCAAGGAAAAAATTACTCCATGTCGCTTCTACTTTGTATATACAAGCAAAGCTACCAGTCAAGATTAATCTAAATTATTTACAGGTGTCGAAAAATTTATATATCAAAAAACTATCTTCTCCCAACTAACATAATTGTCTCTCTCGACCCGTGTCCGCTTTCGCCCATATCTTGATATTTCCGCGCGGGGTTCTGGTATAAAATCAGTCTCCGGTGAGGATTCTTCACTTAAGCTACTCGGGCTTGAACCGACAACTCGATGTACTACATTACTTTGCGAGTCAGCTTCGACCTCGGAAAGTGATGAGGTCACTTGTTGCCTCACATTTCTTAGCGGGGGGCTGCCAAGGTTGTTGACGCTCCATTGAATTGTACAGCAAGCTGCCAATGTGCGCGTTGATCATTGCGACCTTTTCAGCTTTCTTTCCTTTGAAGGTGATCTTGTGATGGGAAAAGTGCAAGGATAGCTCGTCCACCCTCAAGGACGACAGCTTATCGGAGTTGTACAGTCCAGCCCAGTCAATGTCATTGCGCTGCCGGTTCAGCCGTACCATTCGCTCCGTTTCAGTCTCCTCTTTCTTCTTCTCCTTACGCATTTGTATCTGGGCAAGGTGCTCAACATACTCTGCCACTAGCTTTTCGGGGACAATGTATTTATCTGAAAACTTTCTAATAGCCTCACTGTCCCCACTGACTAGTTCATTTTCCTCAAGCAATCGCTTAATCAGAGCTCGAGGCTGGAAGTCGTCCGGCTCGCGGCCATTGGTGGGGGTTGCACTCCAACATTACAACATTTCATTTCCCTCTTTCTATTCCTCGTACATCCTTGCCCATTTTCAAGTTTTCACCATACAATCACACGCCAAGCAATTAACTGCTTGTTGCGCAGATGAACGCGGTTATATGAGTAACACTTCCAGTTTGTTATTTTCACTTTCGTTTATTTTTGTCTTGGATAGGTAGAGGGGGAGGGTCAGATGTTTTTGTTTGGGTATTTCTGAAGGGTCATGCATTAGTCCCTTCCAAAAAGTGGGAGGGCCACGACTTTTTTTTCAAAAAAATTCTAAAATACCCCGGCCCACCCTCCCCGATAAAAAACGTACCTTCCCTTATAGTTGAAAGGAACAATTTGCAGAAGGTTTTTACTAAAACTCGCGTAAAGGACGTAGACCTTTCCAAAACGTAGCCGTGCAAGTAATTTGTCTATATGGACCGAGGAAATCAAAGCCAAGAGTGAAGAGGAACCGACGCAAACAGTAATAAACTATGACACTTTCTGATGGCTGCAATCATTTGGAACACGTAACAGGTCTTTGGCAAATGCAATAATTTATATGTTACTGTACCGACCGTTTTTGCTTTGTTTTATTTTGTATTTGAGGGCACTTTCCAAGTACAAACCCCCAGGGGCTTATATTCGGAGAGGCGATTTAACGGAGGGTTTTTTGCGTTACGACTTTGAGGGACTTATATTTGGAGGGGCTTATTTTCGGAATTTTACGCTTTGTATATGTTGTTTTTCTGAATTAAAGTAATCGTATTCGTAATATGATATTTTCTAATATAGACACGTTTTCTTTTAATTTTTTACCTATTTTCGTGGACGTTGTTATTTTCATTTTATAGTCCTAAACCTACTACCCTACCATAATTAATAAAAATATCTATATCATTATGTACTATTTTCATATTTTCACAACATTTATCATATTCCTTTTTATCATGATAACATATAAATATATGATGTAATGTCGTATTGCAAAAACCACAATTAATAATCACCGTCTTCTTCTATAAGATATTTATAAACATTTGTGTTACAAACAATTTTTTCCATTTCTATATATTGCTAAAGATTTTTATCTTTATATAATTTCAATTTTTCGTAATGCAACATCCTAGTATAATAACAATATATAATGCAGTCATTATATTGATTTCAGAAAGGTTGTTATCATAAGTGCGTGGATTCTCAGAAACACAGGAAGTTGATTATGTAATAGGGTATTTCCCGAGGACGTTGGTCATGTGACTGTCATACTACAAGACGTTTTTGTCTATAAACAGACTTTGAACCTTTCTAAAGTAGTTTATCCTTCAAAATGGTTGACAGTGCTTTTGATTTGCAAGAGATTTGTGACACTGGTTATGGTTGTCTGTTATCAAAAATTTCAAAGTCATCCAACTGTAGTATTACATGGAGTCATGATATGGATTGTACCTGTGAGGAGTGTTATATAGGAACAAATGGCACCGGTGTGCCGTGACGTCTTAATATTATTTATTATAAATTTAATCATAATATAAACCAAAAGGTTCGCTTTGATAGAAAGTTGGTATGAACTACTGCTTTTGTATAATTATATAATTAAAGGGTTTATCAGTGTATGGTATTGTATGTTGGTTGCCTTCTGGAAATCGATATTTTTTCTTGCAAGGATATTACCCACTTCATTTTGGGTGTTGTCATTTCTTGGAAAACATAATGCGCCCACGAACATATGGGTCAGCCGTATGCTAATTATTGGGAGCGCCGAGATAGTCGGCGTATTAGCCTTGCCAGACGTTCAACCGGAAGAGAAGCTAGCTACTTTTTGACTGATGTTAGAAGGTAAACTTCGTTTTAAAGCAGATGTACAGTGATTATTTTAAAGAAGAGTCAATTTGTCATTCATGATACAGTAAGGGATAATTGTAGTGTGTCAAATCACACCAGTACAGTTGTCGTCGCCGTCAACGCACCTTTAATCCTTTTTTCAGTGTTGTTTTGCTTCACCTCTTCGAATTCGCCCAAGTCACTTCAAACGGATTCTTTCAAAAGTTGCTGCAATCTGAAGATAAGACAGTAAAGGAGGCTTCAATTTGGAAAAAACTCCTCAAATCCCTCGTTAACTGGGCTTGCCGTAGGTAGGCCTTTATAAAATACATTCGATTTTTTCTCCCGGGGGGTGTATCCCTAGCAATTCGTGGTGGGGATGTGTCGACTAATTCTCTTAATCCTCACTGTAGACTCTTATTTCAGATGAATATCTATAAGGCAATTAATGTGAGCAAGTACCCACCAGAATTTTTGGATATTCCTTTGTTCAGTAAACGGCCTCTATCAATGATTAATCGAACAATCCTGGGCGTTTTCCTGGGAATTGTTAGAGGGATGTATTGTTCCGTTTGCCAAATCTTTACTCCAGATTTTTTTATCAGCTCAATACTTAGAGGGCAAATGTAAGAGAGTACTCCCCCGGAGAATTTCGTTGTCATGACGATAAACAAGATCAATTATTAACTTGGTAACTTTCAAGCATGTTAAGCGAAGCCAGCCATTAAATGAAGATGTGTTTGAAGCTGGCGTACTGTGCTTTTTCATCGTCTCCTTCAAAAGATGCTACGATAAGTACCCTTTGTGGTATTTCTCCACTTTCGTTGAAGTTTGACCTTTTGATGAGATTTTTCCCTTCCAAAACGTAATTGCAAATCTCTCTCTGTGTGTATAGCTAGAGTGTGTGAGTGTACATCCATTGAATAAAGACGTCTCTCAAGCTATCATTGCACTTTTTTCAGTGCCTTTTTCAAAAGATGGTAGGATGGGTCGCTTTCGAGGTTTCTCTTTGCTTTTTGTTGAAGTTTATAACCGTTTAAAATGTGATGGCCGATGTCTCTTTTTATGTTATTGCGATTGATCTTGCTATGCGTGTGAAAAGTCATTCCTTGCAATACAGGAAAGGAATGTCTCCGGCCGGGAAAGTGCTCATTGTAGATCACCACGTCAAAAAATATATATTATTTAAACAATAGAAAACGTTTTCCGTGTTTGCATAGCCTGATATAAACACGAGAGGGGTTGGGAGAATTAGAGACAGTTATGCAAACCCGAGACGAAGTCGAAGGTTTGCATAACCGTCGAGAATTCTCCCAACGCCTCGAGTTACGTCATCATGCTCTCACACTATCATATTTTGGGGGCAGACTGGGGAGGGATGCGTGAAAATAACGCTTATTGTTTCCTGTTATGTCACGCAATAGTCAGCGACAATGTGGTGGCCTCACTGTGTACAGATCACCAATCGCCTTTGCAAGCCCAGTTAAAATCGCTTTTTGACGATCCTTGTTACTTGTAATCACGACTGCTTCACTGTGGCAGTGATTTTCGGGACAGCTAAAATATGCCGACATTCCATCCTCCAAAACAAATCCGAATACAATTTATCTGAAGTCTCCATAAGATGAATGTTGATGAGTTTTTGTCTTATTCTTTTTGTCTTATGCTGCTGAATAATTTGAGTTGATGTGGTTACTGTTGCATTGAACACACTTTCTTTATCTCTTGCTTATCACTCGTTCTTGATTTTTTCGGAAGTTGCTAACATCAGAAGATCGAGGAAAACGATACCGAGACTGACGACGTCAACAATAAAACTCATCCTGAACTCTGCAAACGTTTGGTTTTTTCATCAGTTGTTCCATATATTTACCTGCTATGCCAGAATTCGAAGCAAAACCATTTAATTAGATAGAAATTCATTTTGAACCTTTATTGCCTGTTTATACCTCGATGCAATGAGAGGCGCAGAAAAAAAGAAATGCATCTAGTAAGTTTCAGCTGCATTAGGTTAGGCCCGGTTCAGACGCCGCTCCACTCATGTGCCGAACCTAACTGAGGTATTAGGTACGGCAAAAGAGCGGCGTCTGAATCAGTTTGGTACGGCAGTTTTAATTTGGTGCGGCAAAAACGTTAAGTTCGACAGGGTCTGTCGCATTATTCGACATTGGAGCGGCAGGTGATTCATACGGCGTTCTTCTCATGTGCCGAATCAAATGCATACATTATGATAATTTATAAATCTTCCCATAAGTCCCTCGGAGAACTTGTTACGCATGCTCGTAAGTTTTACTAGGAAGGGAAAATGGCGGCAAAAGATGGAGAGAGCTGTAAACAGTGCAAAAGATGGACCAAATATCGCTGCATTCGCTGCAAGGTAGCCATTTGCAACTTATGTAGCGAGCCAGAGATGGATGAAAGCGTGGACGGGTGGATAGGTGGGAAGAGTGTCGGCTACTGTTTTGAGTGCGAAACTGTAAGGCCCGTAACCGAGTCGCCGATCGCAAGTAGGCACAGTTATGAAGAAGTTGAAGGAAAGGAAGATGCGGCAGATGAAGTCCACAGTGAAAAGGAAAGGTAATCTTCTTTCGCTGATAAAAGTGATAATCAGCAAGAAGCTGTCACAAACCAGAAATGTAAACACCCGATGTAGTTATGTTTGCAGTTTATCTCATGCGTGATTGATTCGATGATTCTCATTTCCAACACAACAAAATCATCGCCGAAGGAATTCCAGCATTCAAGGTTTCCTTTGTTGCTTTAAAGTAAGCATAAGTGCAAGTTAGGTGATAAAAATTGATCAACAGAAGGGTATAATTAAAAAATTTGAAACTGCAAATTGCTTGTGTTAATGTTTATATTTATCCCTCTGTGGAAGGTCAATAATAGTGGCCATGTTGTGGTTCAATTTTTTCCTTGGTTTAAATTTTATTTTCCTTTGTTTTGGGGTATGGTAATGTATGATAATGAGTTTGAACCAAAGGAAAGTAAAATTTAAAC